CATCTTCCCCTGTCTGGTCCTGCTGAGTGTGTGTGCGGGAGGGGATCCTGGGGTGTGCGGCTGTTGCAGGCAGCAACTGGGCAGCGGCATCTCTGGCTCTACTGGGCGTCTTGCAAAATGTGTGCCTGCCTGTACACCCAATCAGGACAAGAAAGTTGACCTGGCAGCTGTGCAGAGCCAGAAACACAAGAGCTTCTGACTCCTATCACATGCTGTAACCACTAACCATCCTTTTTCAAAACATGACAGCTTAGCCTATTTGTATTTCACAGCATAACTGTATCAGTTCCAGTTGTGCTATAGAAAGACACAAAACAGAGAATCATATATCTCACTGTAGTTTCAGCTAAAGAGCCACAACAAAACCAGGTTGGTTTTGCTGCCCCCTTAATGTGCGGACAGGAAGGAGGTTGGCACACCCTTCTTACCGCTGGAGCGGTAAGACTGAACCCTCGCCTCTGCTGATCAGTGAACAGCTAGTTCTAGGGAGCTGGGCAAGGGGTATCTCAGCAGAGTGCAGACGTTGTTCAGCTCCCACAATGCATCATCAAACTGAGCAACTCCTCAGGGTAAAATAAAGTAAAAAATGTAAAAATCCTATTTAAGATAATTGTCCTGTTAAAAAAAGAAGCTGCCTCAGAGTATTGTCAGCTTTATTGAAAAAAGTTTGGAGAAGCTCTGGGATTCTTCTCAGTAGGTCTGTACATGCTGACGTGGGGGGTTGGAGGCTTTTATGTGCCTCCACTTGATTTCTCCCAGTTTCTTGAATTTCTGCTTAGAAGAGAGGTCCTGTTCTTCTTGTGTCTAGTGTTACCCTAGTGAAAGGAGCAAGAACATCTCTGTAACCATTCAGATTCATGAGTTCTTTTTTGTTTGGTGGATGAGAGAACAAGAAGGATTTAATTAATATTTCATATACTGTATATTAGGCTAAACTTAGCTCTTTGAAAACAAGGCTTTCCTATGCCTAGTCTGAGCAGTGAGGGCCAAGGAAAGCTAGAAGTAGTTCCAAGCAGGTATTGGCAAAGCTCTAAGCTCTGATGCGCTGTCTGTGCTAAGCATTTTATGCTTTCCTGTGTGCTGAGGTGAATGCATACAGACATCTTGAAGGAAAAAATGAAGCTGTAGCTGGCAGATTAGTAACCTTGTGCCTTGACGTTGTCTTCTCTGGGAGAAGGCAGAGATTCGGCTGCCCTCTCGTGGCATCGCCTCCCGCAGTGAGAACATTAATGGTGCCTGAGGCAATGTTCAGAGTGGGCTTTCAGCTGTGCAGAGACCTTGGGGAGATCCTCTGCTGCCTTCTCCCCCTAGGAATTTTTTGAAATGTTTTGCAGCTCGGAGTATAGTGGTGGTGTGTAAGCACTGATAAATGGCTGTACTGAAGGAGGGGCTGCTGATGGCTATCAGTCTGTCTGCTCTGAAAGAATAAAATTGCTGTAGGGGTGTGCTGTTGTATTGTATAGTCTGCACTTCTGCTGATACAACATTGAAGAGTTAATGTGAGACACTTCAGGAGAGTTAGCACGCTTACGTTAATTAATGTAGAATTTTATGGTATAGACTTCTGATAATGGGTTTTGGGTTTTGTTCAGCCTTGAATTAGGATGATGAAATAAATACTAGGTTTTTATCTGACGCTCTGGCTGTTCTTTGGTCCAGGAGACTGTGGCTCTGTGGTAGAGGAGTGTTATGTATTGTCACAACATTCACACTTTTTATTGCTTCTCGTAAAAATAGTCTTTCTGAGTACAAATGAGGCATTTTCGTAATAAGCTGCAGGCAGATCTACTTATTGCCTCTCAGCTAATGAGATGAGATGCTTTGTTCTCAGTTGCATCTGGATTTCACAAAATTTTTCAGCCCTGATAACTTCAGTGAAGGAGATGCTCAACACACATTTTGATAACCATTCAATCATGCTGTTTTACCACAAGCATCCCTCAGCAGTGAAATATATCTGGTATAATGCAATAACAGTATTCATCTCTTTATGTTTTAATGTTTTACGTTTTACTGAAAAGCACTGTCTTTGAGGAAAATCTGTATTTAACAAAGATGCACTTGGGAGCTGATATTTTCAACATCCACAAGAATTATCTGTTCTAAATGTGAATGTTACAGCTGGTGAATTCCATGCAAAATACTCTTATTAAATACTTTTAATACTTACTTTTCTGTAAAATGATCATTTTCAGGTGGAATATCAATGTGAAGGCTTTTTGGAAAAGAATAAAGACACAGTTTATGAAGAACAAATTAAGGTCCTAAAATCAAGTAAGGTTAGTATAAGGATTTTTTTCTTCTTTTACAGTTACGAATCCTTGAATTGAAGGTCATGTAAAATTTCTTAGAGACCTAGGAAATATTTCTCACTTAGTATCAGATCAACTGAAATTGAACATAGTTTGTGTTTTACTTAGCTGTCTGTATTAATTTAGAAAGTCCTGTAGCCTCATTTTGCTCCATGTAAGACCAGTCTATATTGAGCCACTGATTTCACTGTTTGGTTTTTGGGGGTTTTTTTGGTGGTTTTTCTTTTTAACTTTTCACAAAACTTTGCTGTATTTTCTGTAAAGGCATCAAGGACTTCTAATATACTATAGTAGTATAAAAAGGCTTAACAGTTAAGCCCTTAATTTTGTAATCTGAAAACAGAAGCTCCTTGTTTATGGCCTGACAATTGAGCAGAAAATTTCTGGGGGAGAGACAAGCTCTGTTCCAGAAACAAAATGAGAGAGGAATGAAGTGTCTAGATCCTAAGGACACGAACCGGAATTTATGGAGTCTTGCCTTCTTGATATCTATGAAAGAAAGGTGACGTCTGAATTGAAAAATACTGTGTGAAGGAATATTATAGAACAGGCCTTTAGTGGCATTGTCTGCTTTTTTTAATGGCAAAAATGCTAGTTGTGCTCTACTGAAATGTAAAGGCAATTAACTTGACATTGCGCTGTGCTGGCTGTTGGGAATTTGCTAGCTCTAATGGCCAAGGAAGCTGGGTATCGAGGACAGGCTATTTAAAATTATGCTATTCTATCAGGAAAACCAACATTTTTCTCTTCGGAGCAGATACATGAACCTATATTATTAAAACATGTAGGATGATGCAAAACCACAGCAGACTCTCTACTGAGAGGAGTATTGCAGTGGTTTGAGTGCAGCCAGTTGCTGGTGGGGGGGAGGCAGGTGGCATCCTCAGGGA